AAAAAGGTCGCAGTGCAAGTAGGGAAACGCAAGGAAGAAGAAATGTTTGAGCATATGTCAGTATGCAAACCATAACCATCCACTGGTCCCTTCACCACAGCGATGCTATACAGGGAAATGCAGTGCACTGCACAGTTCCCTAGCTGCGTTAGCTGTGCAGCATCTGCCAGTTCCTGGATAATCACTGTTTGACTTGCAAAACCCATCTTGAGCTTTAATTGTGAAAAAACACTGGAGTCCTCTACGTTAAAGGTACAAAGAAAATGTTGCTTCTAATTAGAAAGCAACACTAATTTATGATGTTGAATTTGTATCTCATTTTTTAAAATTGCGTGCTGAAGTGACATAGAATACTTTTACCTAAATCCCACAATTCACTGAAAAATGGGAGTTACGAAAATATATCATATTACAAGAGGTTTGAAGGGAAGAACAAGTACACAAAACAGTTGTGATTCCTCATGGTTTAAGATTATGTAAAACAGGACAGTTCTGATAGCTTCTACTGACAAATAACACATGGGGAGTTTAGTCCTACTCTTAGTTGGGTGAAAGAGCAAATGCCAACTGTTTTCAGTGGGAACTGGCTCGGATCTTCTCTGACCACAATGTAAAAGATAATTTTAAAGTTCTTGTGCATTTTCCCAAGAAACCAGATTTCCACGGCCTGTCTTACTCTTATGAAAATATTTGATCAGAGATCATATTCAGTACTTCAGATGTGTTTTTCATGCATATGGAAACAATTGTCATCATTATTCACTCTCCTTAACTCAAAGACTTTTGACAACTAAAATATTATCTTTTTAAAGCAAAAATGCAAATCATTCACAGACCTTTGAGGATTTTGGGGGTGGGGGGTGAGGAAGCAGACATGACTGAAGGTCACCAGGACACCACATACCAATAACTGCTTGCAGGCTGCAGCCCTGACAGCGTTTTGAAAATTGCTTAGCATGTTGAATATAAAGGCTGTAGCTTAACAATTACCACCTTGCCTAAGTCAGCCCATGTACCTGAAGCAGCACTCTCCTCAGCCAGAGAGGGATCAGCCAGGACAAAAACCCAGGGATTTCTCCATCCTCTGAAACATTTTTTAAATACCATTCTTGGAGGCAGGAGACCCTCAGTCTTCCAGAGTAACCACTTTTCTCTGACAGACAGACAATACCCTTGTTACCAGCATGGGCAAACTGTTCCCTTTGCTCTGAATTTGCAGTGAGTCAATATGGGGGACTATTTAAAACAAATAATACAATTAACTTACTTACATTTGTTTGTTACAGATGCTTGCTAATGTACAAGAAAGGAATGTTGTCTAAACAAATGACACCACTGTCTTTTTCAGAGGGGTATACAACCTTATGGTGACACATAATGACCTGCATCATTTTTAGTTTAGAATATAGATTGATGTGCTGATTTCTTATTTAACACTTGTTATGCCAGATCCTTATCTGCAGTAAATTAAAGTAGCTAGAGAGACCATTTGAGAAATCTAGGTCAATTCATTTCTGTTATAATATATGGAGTTCAGTGGTTTCAAACTCCAGCCCCAAAGATACTAATGGCCTCATTTTGTGATCAGTATAGGAGAGGACAACAATGACAGGGTAGGTCCTCATAAAGTCATGCAAATCGACTGAAGATCTAACCCAGCATTTTTTCACTCAGCTTCGTTAGAGACTTCAGGTTCAGTCTCGCCCTATTGTGAATTAGTCTCTTGAAACTGAAAGGAGACTAGCATGCAGTGAGCAAGTATTTTGCTCAGCAGTAGCTGTTTGCGGGATTGTGTTCCTGCTCATTATCTGATAATAGCCTATGGATATTGAACCCCTTGGACTAGCTTTCTGTACAGCAGGGGGAAAAGTACACATGAGCACATATACACACAGGCACATTTTGTAAGGAAACTCACCACTGCTAGAAGCATCGTTGAGATTTAGCAGCCCACCTCCGAGCCCTCTGTAACTATGGTAACTGTAGGTCCCATTTCCATTGATGTACAACACCTCCTGTGTGCTGGAAACAGCTGATGTTGAGTAAGTGACCTGGGCTGGCTCCTGTTTGTACTGTTTGTCAGCTGGAGCAGCCTCATCCTGCAAAAACAAGGAAAGGTTTTGAATTATCGTTACATTTTACCTTGCACAAAAGGGTCTTTTCCATTGTTAAATCTCCACATCTATTGCTTTTAGGAAAGTATAATACATGTTAAACAAGCACAGATGTGTTTCTGATTGACCAAATATCAGCTGAAAAGAAACAATGGAAATAAGCAAGAATACAGGTTTCCTACAAATCTGAGAATATTTATTTGCGCTCCACAAGCCAACCATACTGTTTCTCAAAGGAGAAGATGCATCCTCTCACCCTGAAGAGCTCACAGTCGCCTGTAAAACCCAACTCTGTCCAGAAACAGCGTGGGAAAGGACAGAAAAAAGACTTTACTTTCTGAGTACAGGAGTGACTCTTCCAAGCCAGAGAATCATATCTTTCTCGATAAGACAAACCAATACAGAATGCACCAACTACTTCTTTTGATGTATCAGCCTCAGAAATGACAGAAGGAATGGAGGAACGGAATAAAACAACATCTCCTATGTTTGCAGAGGGCTGAGTAAGTGTCCATCCACACAAGGGCCAAGTAGTAAGGATGCCTCTACAAACGTGACTTGAAAGCACTTGTAATCTGTGTATGAGCAGTGACTGTACACCATGAGTTCCCCTCAAAGCTCCCTGTTTGCCTCTTAGATGCTCGCATAATATTGAACAAGATTTAGCACAACGGCCTTCCAACTTTCCCCTACAGGAGATCATGTTTCAGGTGAAAGTGTATTTTTCCCCATCTGCACTTACCATAGCTACTGCTTAGAGCACCTCACCTCCACTCATGATCACAGAATGCCCCTGTGGCAACTTTAGTAACGACAGAGGTGAAAAAAAGAAAAACATTAAAAGAAGATTTAATGCTTTTTAGTAGTTAGAAACAAGGAAAACTATCAGTGTGTGACTGCTCAGCCTACCACAGGGACCCGAGTGCCAGAATTTCTGATCTAGTCTGCAAATGTATTTGAACTTCTTTTTGTTTTTTGAACTTGTAGACTTTTTTTATGGGCCTGATTTTACACTCTTATCTGATGAAATCATATTTCAGTGATTTCAAATAAAATGGAAGATCAGTATTTAAAAAATAGAGGTGAGAATGTTTGCAGACCCTTTCAGAGTAGTTAACTGAAAAATGATCTGTTAGAATTATCTCCCCTTTGTGTAAGATTTTGTCCATTTTATGCCTCTCTCTTCTGCACAATGCTTTTATAGTTGCTAAACATACCGAACTTATTAAGAATGCTATAAAATATCTCAATATAAAATATCTCACTTTTTTACAGTGTTTACTTAAAAATAAGAATGTATATACCAGCACAGAGGGATCAAACAGTTCAAACAGTGTCCAGTCTCTGTGTTGAAGCAAAAAGGGTTCTAAAGCAGCTTTCCTGTCTGCCTTAGGAACAATCGTCGGTTCCACCTCCCAAATAAGACACTACCAACTTTTCTGAGATGAAGATATCCCTGTCTTGTAGATACTTATTGGTGAAAGAGACTTGGGCACAACTGAGATGATTCAGGAGAAGTTATATATATTATTAACAGAAATTTTAATATTTAATACAGAACACTGAACCATCAGATAATTAATTCCATAAACAATCAGAATGGGGCCTCTTGGGCACTAATATGAGCTGATGCAAAGCTTTACATTTTTAAGAAAGTTGGCCAAACCAGTCTCCTATGCATTTTCTTAAGTAATAATAGGCTTAAACAAAGGGCCAAAATTGCAATGTATTGTTGCCAGGAATTCAACTTTAATATAATTTACCTTTTATCTCCAAAGGTCATTGCTGTCTCTTATAAGAGCAAATGTATTATTTTCTCTGAGAAAATATTTATAAGCTACACAGTAAAGTTCTATCTGGGCAACAAAGCTTAATTCATCGTCCAAATCTTTAACACTCTCAAGGCTGAGATATTCTGTATCCTTATGTCTAAAACTAGACGATACTTCCTGCCATAGATTCACTCAGAGTCTCATTTTATTCTCACAAAGATCAGTAAGGGGTCTTCTGCAAATTTATCAAGGACTGGACTGTGTTCAAGGGATGCAGTGCAAAGGGGACTAACTCCTATAGCTGAGCAGAGTATCTCAGGGCCTGTCTCCTTATCCTGACTGGAACCCACAAATTCGCTGTCCCTGAATTTACACGTCCTCCAGAGCCCCTCTAGTCAGTGCACTGAAAATCTAACAGTGAGTTTCTTGCAGAGCTGATGCACTGAGCTTCTAGCAGAGCACAGCAAGCACAGCCTGGCCGGAGGGCACAGCAAGGACGCTTGGTGCACCTTGGTGCATACCAGCCCACGTGTTAGAGCACGTGGCCAAGAAGTGGGAGACCCGAGTTGTGGCTCCTTGTTGCAATACACGGTGAAGAGGCGGAAAATTTGGGATGCAAGGTCTCTTCTAGCTGTGGTGAGGAGGGGACCTGAACTCAGAGCTGCCATCTCCTAGCAACCAGGCTCAAAGCAAAACTGCGGTGGGTGTCGTAGCTGAAGCTGTACCACTGTGTGGAAAGAAATGCACAATTCATAGGGCTACAGAGATAGCAAAAAAAAAAGGAGCATGACTCAGTTCCCTTTCAGAGAAGTGCTGCCCTGGGAGGCTTCCAGCCCCGCTCCCTTCCAGCTACGCCCTAACGCAAAACTCACAAGCTGCTCTGAGGTCGGGAATCCAAGGCTGGTGCTGTGCTGTTGAAGGGGGGTCTTTGTATCGAACTAATCACAGCCCTGCGCAACACTGTGGCATGCCATAGGCGGGGGCTTGAGGTGGAGCCCTGGCATCCGGGTGGGGAAGGCACTCCTTGGAGGGGTGAAGGGGGTTGAGGAGGATGCTGAGCCCAGGACTCCTGGTTCTGTGTACGAGCTCTAATCTCTCAGCCACTATACAAAAGGTGGCTTCCTCTAAATATCACGTATATATTTAGAGAGCAGACCAATCACCTGTACCTAAATGATACATGGCCATACATTTCAGACCTGAAATCTGGGCCTCATCTAAGTGCTTAGATCAGTGATTCAGGATGACTAAATGCAGAAGCAGGGCAGGATTTTTGGCGAGCATTTTCTGAGCAGGCTCAGGTGTCAGCTCTACTGGTAGGATTACGAACCATTAGCCTGGTCCCAGGGGGTTAGGTGTTACCTCTCATACATTCCCCTGAGATTTAAGCATTTTTCAGAAATGTTTCATACTTCAAAAGGCAAAACTGTCTCCTTTTTCCTTGCAGCCACACCAAGGATAAAGAAGCCAGGCTTTCTTTTTCTTGGGAAGAGAGAACATGAATATCATATTCACTTTTGCATACCTGAAATTTCTTCTGCACAGATTTATTCTCTTCTTTCTTTTTATCTTAACTGCCTTTGCTTTTAAACTAATGTAGAAATTAAACACGCATAGTGCTGTTCGAGAACTGGGATTTTTTTAATATTCTGTGTTAGTCGTTCAGCACTTCTTGTTTCCCCCTATATTATGTTTACATTGGAAAGGCTTAGTAATTTATTTAAGATGTTATTTAAAAATATTTTAATTTCATAATAATCAGTAACAGTTAACTAACCATTTATTAATTTGTTTGACCTAACTACCTGGAACACATGCTGTTGTAATTCATAACAAATTTGTAAAACCTGTGAAGTATTATCTAACCATTTTTAAACTATTTATAATTTACCTTTAATAAGAAGTATGAACAAGATGCAGATAAAACATTTGTCCATCTAGAATTTGACTTATACCATCTCCATTTTGTATATAGCAATGGAAGTAAGTCATCCTTCTAACAATATTTCTCTTCTGAATTTATTTTGGAGGAGAAGTAATTTAAGTCTTGAGCATATCATCTGGAAAATGATGGCAATCACAGAAATGCAAAAATACCTTTTAGGTACAAAAGCATGCTAAAATACAAAGTTAACTGTTCGCTTGAAAAAGTGGAAGCATGAAGTACATACTGTGATCCTCAACTTGGTATACATCAGAGATATCTATGTCTCAGTTTTATGTCAAGGTCTGTACTAGAACACAGTTTTTTCCTTAAAAAAGCAGATGCAATTTATTTTATTTTATTTTTAATCACGGAAGCAATTAAGTAACCCTCTAAGGACAGTACATACTAAGAAAAGATTTCATGAACTATTGCATAACCTGTATATTGAAGAAACCCTGCTCCGCTCTGACTGATATTCTGAGCAGCTAATGAATAGTTTAAAAGAAAATACCATCCACAGCAACACAGATGCTAGTGCAGATTGTCATGACTGTGGTACAAAGAGCGAGGCTCACCAGCAGCGTCCCAGCCTCCTGCTCCCCCTGCCAGTGGAGGCACAGCATACACATTTCTTTTCAAAAAGTCTGTCCTTCTTGGAAGCAACTCTAACAATGCCATTGCTCCTTTCTGCTCCCCATCTCCTTCACCACCACCAAAATAATACAAAAAAGTAATAGCTTGTTAAAATAAAAAGCCCTGGCAAATCTGTGCTACATTGAGTTTTGATCCCATACATACACAAGTGTCAGAAATTCTGTGTATTCCCATTAAGAGAGAGAAGAGCTATTGCCTTGGCTCCACTGTTAGCAATAGCTATTGTTAACGTGTAAATGTAAATCCCAAAAGGGAGTGTGTATGCAGACCAACTCACATAGACAATGCTAGTTGACCATAAAGCTAAAAAAACTTCTGCAACAAGAATATAAATGGTAATGTTCCAAAAATGGCAAAGATGGCGACATGCACTTAACTACTGCTTTCATGAAATGCAGTGTCTACCAGACTGACAACAACTCTGAGAATGCCAGCTTTTAAATGCCCCTGTGTCAAGGTGATTTCTTCCCACTCAATTAGAAAAGACACGAAAAGGCAAACACATTTTTGCCTCATGTTTCTTGATACTTTCTTTTTTAATATGTTAAACTGAAAAATGTGGATTGCTTGTTCTTCTTGTCAGTAAACACTTCTCTTACAATACCACTTTGAGGTTAGGAAAACTCAAATGC